CGAAAGACAAAATTTTTTTGTAATTGCCATTTCAGTGAATGATGCTACTCACTTTTGACGTGAGTAGGCATCGAAAAAATCTGTTATACTCGATTGAGGCAATTTGAGCTTTTTACTAAAATTCTTACATAGCGATGAGGAAATCAAAGATTGCATAGTCCGACATTCGAACAACCATTTGAAGGACGGTGTGAATGAGTTAGAGGGAAGGATAAAACTGCAGCATTGTGGAAAAATTGCAATATTTGCCTACTAACCGACATTAGGTGAAATGGTATGAAAATTGTTGGTATTCCATATTAAGGTCTGAATCATGCAGAATGTCCGATAGATTTCGGACACGAAGGCAATTTAGATAACCGCTCAAAAGGGAATCTACAGTGACGGACAAAAGCGAGATTGCGAAATAAAGCTGTAATTCGCGATAGTCGAAATAGGGCTCACAAGTTGGTGGCCGGTTGGTCCGAGAGCGAATTGCTTCCGTGGGCAGATCCTGACGACACATGTCGGTAAATTCGTTGTTGATTGTTTTCACGGCATCATTGTCATGCTGTTGAAAATTCAAGTATGACACCCTCCAGGGTTCGGTCTTTTTTCCCTCGACAGCTTTAGCTAAAACGAAACCTCTACGGGGCTGGAAAGGTGCCAGGTTCGAATCACTTCTGTATTAAAGAAGAGATTAAGCATCCAGGCTTCTCGTCGAGGCAACTCAACGAAGCAAATGCTGTACTAAGCCAAAGTGTTTAATGTGTTTACCATCTCATAATCGTCTCAACTCCACCAATAGTGATGTTCGTTATACAGACACACATGTGTTAAGCATTATATCAATTCCCGGATTGCATTAATGGTTAAAAAGTATGTAAACATGTGGGATTAAGGCATACTTACGAAGTTTCATTGACTCGTCATGGAAGTCCATTTCATAGCCGACTGTCATAACGGTCATATTGCTTGTCAGCTCGGAATTCCGTATTTTGGAGGTCCAGGGAATTTGGTACCTGTGGAAACACGGGTCGATTCCTTGAAGCACAGCTGAACGCATATAAGGGGTCACTAAGCGTAGGATTGAGGCTATGGAAGAGTCAAGACAGTGATTCGCTTGCCTCCATTGTTGACGGGCCGTGATACAAACAGGGTCTATGAACCAACTCTCCACTGCAGATTCACCAATCCCGTATGGCGTAGCTTTAATAATAGGTTTTAATAAGTCTGAAATGAGCCTGACGACAGGTAGAGAGAGGATGATGAGTGTGGACGAAGGGACGCAAAATCTGTCAATATCATCCTGTCTATTTCATTTTTTTTCACAAAAATTTTCCACGCGCGTCTTTACTCTATTCCCGTCAACGTGGCTGGTTAACTAAGTGTCCGCAGTTTTGCACTTACATCCGATTGGTCTACTCGCCGTCAGCCAATCAAAAGACAGCCGGTTATAAGCGCCCAGCCAGACAGCGATTGGCACGTTTGGTGTCTTGCCTCCTCTTCCGCCGTGATGATTCAACCAATCAGTGAACAGCTCCCCAGCCCAATGTCCCTCCGATTTTGGCATGTAAAGAGAAGAGATCCAGTAATTCGGACTTGCCAGAAAGCCAGTCAGATTTGAGAATAACGAATATCCAACCTGAAGAAAGTGGAATAGACAAATTTGCTCAATAAGTGGCATGAGACAAAAAATCCATAACTAAACAAACCAGTTTAGTTGGTCGCTTTGCCTAGTCCCTGGGGCCCTACAGGACAGATCGAAAACTGACCTTACATGGTGGATACCAATTTTGAGTCTAGCCTAAACATGTCCTCCGAATAAGAGCACACATCTGGCGACCCGGTTGCATTTGTCGCAACTCAGCTGGACTCTGAGTTGCATCTCTCCGAATCGGAGACGTGGACATGACGTAAAGACATCCTCACAATTGGTGCACACAAAAACTGATTACAAAATTAAGTGTTCTGTCCAGAATGGATGGCTTCACTGCTTGGCTGTTTTGTATCACAAAAGCATTGAATCACGTTCAGCAATTATCTGACCAGACTTTCCGAAGTAAAAGGATATGTCATTTTATTTTTCCTCGTTTTAACTCACTTTTAATGGATTAATTTGCATTTTTTAATACAAAATTCAAACAGAATATACAACATGTTGAAGTAGCTTTCAGTTCGTTTTAAGAGGACTGTGGCAGGGATTGTGATTGTAGCGAATAGGTTATTGGCGCTTTCTTTTCGTAGAGAAATAGATGATGAAGAGATTCGTAGGTCAATCTCATCAGAAAACGTCGGCAGTTCGCGTTGTACTGTAACAATTTGACATTAATACGACATTCAGGTTGAGTCAGTCGCCGAGACATCCTCCAACGTTTCGGGTGAAAACGGGCTGAGCTTTCGTTCGTCATGTGACGAGCAAAAAGGCCTCAAGTTAACATTAAATCAGTAAGTCTTCTTTGACAAGAATGAGTATGTTCGTCACATGACAAACGGAATTTCAGCCCGTCTTCGCCCGAAACGTTGGAGGATGTCTCGTGGACTACATCAACCGGAACATCATGTTAATGCTGAACGTTTGTAGGACGACGCGAATCAGCCGACGCCTTCGGGTGAGATTGACCTACGAATCTCTTCATCATGTACTTCCATACGAAATGAAAGACTTCACGTCATTTTACAATATTTCACCAAGCACAAACACAAAAAAAGGCACCACAACATGGATTTTTTGATAGTCACTTTTACGCAATATCTACGAAAAACATACCACAGCCTATACTTCGATTTCTAGGACTATCAGATGTCCATTAGGCCTGACAGAAACCGATTCATATTAAGGCTCTCTTTAAGAAAACACACAAGTAAGCTTGGCACTAGTACGCCCTTGTCTCAATCACACAATTGTACCACTCTCAGCTTTTGTAAGTTAGTAACTCTTGATGTATTGCCTTCATCTGGCTCCTACATTTTAGAAAATAATTTGATTTCGAGGAAGTATGATTGATACAAAAATATAAATGAATGATTATCTTACACTTTAGGAACATGAAATAAAATAAAATATAAAATTGGCAGGGGAAATAGCGGATGTGTGGAGCTGGGGAGAAGTAGGCTAGAGAAGTATGTAAGAAACTTGCAGATATTGACCTTAACCTAAACTTTTTTCAAACTTTGTGTACAAAATTAGGGTTGTCAATTTAAAATCGATGATTAATTGTAATATAAGATTAGCCGATAGAAAACAATTTGATAATCTGCTGGAGAAGCTTAAAATGTTAATATGGAAACGTGAAAAATATGTGGGAAAATTCACTATTGTAGGTATGAAGACCAAGATGGTGTGGCCTTTTGTGTGGTCGCAGTCTCATTTCGTTGTATAGAAG